ATGAAGCACTTACCTCTAAGCAAATCCGAAAGCGGAGGGCCACAATCCTCAGGGATTACATAATCTCCTTTTCCAATGTTTTCAAATAATTTATAAATATTATCCCCTTCAAAGGGATAAAGGCCTGTTGTAATATTGTACCTGGAGAGGGGGATAGGGAGAGCAGAGAGAGAGAGGGAAGAAGAAATGATTAGAAGCACTTAAGAACCCCTCTCTAACTCAAAGATGCTTTTTCAAAAGGTAACTGGACTTATTTGGGGGGGGGGGGGTTGGTGTGTTGTCTGCATCTCAAATTGAAGCACAAACAGTTCCTATAGTCCAGTAGTGGCGAACCTATGGCACGGGTGCCAGAGGCGGCACTCGGAGCCCTCTCTGTGGGCACACGTGCCGTTGCCCCAGACTCACCTCCCCCCACGACCCCCTCCTCACCAGCAGCCCCCCTGGAGGAGAGTCACCCCCGAACGTGGCCCACACAGAGCAGCGCAGCCAAGGACATGGCAGCCAGGCAGCGTACACAAGAGTCTGCCCTCATGCCCCATCCGGCAGTTGATGCTGTGGGGTGCGGGCAGAGGGCGTGGCTGCCATGGCGCTGCTGGGCTGCCTGGGTGATCTGCGGCGGGCCCTGGAGGCGGTGAGTGGCCCTGCGGGCAGGCGGGGTAGGGGATGGGGTGGGGGAGGGGCGGGGCCTGTTTTTGGGCACTCAGTCTCTAAAAGGTTCGCCATCACTGCTATAGTCTGTAATCTTTTTCTGGAAATCCATTCATCCTCCCGCACCATTCGAAGGGTGTTCATCCAAAATGCATAGTTAACTGTCTATAGAGATTCTCAGTCATCCAGATCACGGTTCTCCCAAAGGTGCTTTTTCAAAAGGCAGCTGGACTTTGTTTTTTTTCCTTGAAGACGTTTCACTTCTCATCCAAGGAGCTTCTTCAGTTCTGAAAGACTGAAGACAGAACTGAAGAAGCTTCTTGGATGAGAAGCGAAATGTCGTCAAGGAGATACAAGTCCAGTTGCCTTTTGAAAAAGCAACTTTGGGAGAACCACGACCTGGAGGACTGAGGGAGCTGTGCGGTTAAGAAATATGATTGATTGATAGATAGATAGATAGATAGATAGATAGATAGATAGATAGATAGATAGATAGATAGATAGATAGATAGGAAGGAAGGAAGGAAGGAAGGAAGGAAGGAAGGAAGGAAGGAAGGAAGGAAGGAAGGAAGGAAGGAAGGAAGGAAGGAAGGAAGATATATACATATGTTGTACATAGTATGTTTAGGTGTGTGTCATGTATGTGTTTCACTTTGAGAGTGGGCAACTAAATTTCATCTTTGATGCGTGCTGTTGTGCCTACAGTAAAAAAAAATGACAATAAAGGTTATTTTATCAGAAAGAAAGAAAGAAAGAAAGAAAGAAAGAAAGAAAGAAAGGAAAGAAAGAAAGAAAGAAAGAAAGAAAGAAAGAAAGAAAGAAAGAAAGAAAGAAAGAAAGAAAGAAAGAAAGAAAGAAAGAAAGAAAGAGCTGGAGAGCAACCATCCCAGTCCAGAGACACAGCTTCTAATATTCGGTTTTTTAATCTGGTTTTATAGGGGTTTGTATTTTTATGCTTTGTATTTGTACTGTTTTTAATACGCTGTGCACCGCCCTGAGTCCTGCGGGAGAAGGGCGGTATATAAATTAAATTATAATAATAATAATAATAATAATAATAATAATAATAATAATAATAATAATAATAATAATNACGCAGGCCTAGGAGAAAGTGAAACTGCACCCCTTGCTATAAAAAGCACAGAGCCTGCTCCTGACACCAAACGGAAGAAATGTAGATGTTGATACCCACAACGCAAGTTCCATTATTTTGTACTTGCACCGTGGTCTCGCAGGCAACTTATCCAAGGGGTGAGATTGCATCACAATGCATGTTTTGTCTCTTGCGCCAGCCCCCCCCCCCAAAGCAGGAGTCTGCCACCATCTACTCTGGCAGGCAGCCCTCTTTGATGACCAAATTCACACCTGCAGGTCAGGGGTCTTCAAACTTGGCCCTTTTATGACTTGTGGATTTCAACTCCCAGAATTCCTCAGCCAGGCACGTGTGCCTGGTTGAGGAATTCTGGGAGCTGAAGTCCACAAGTCATAAAAGGGCCAAGTTTGAAGACCCCTGCCTTCGGTGGAACAGAAGGAGATGATTGGATAGCTTTCCCTCTTGACACTCCAGATATCAATAGAAGAGAATATTTATAGCTCAGGGTTGAACCATGGGGGTCCCTGGTGCTCCCTGAGCTTGTTCATTTGTGGACATTTCATGACCCGACTAGGTAACTTCATCAGTGCTAGTGAGTGTGGCTGACTAGATGATGTGACCTAGTCAGGTAATGAAACATCTGCAAGAAAACAAGCAAGCTCAGAGAGCACCAAGGGACCCAAGGCTCCAGTTATGAGAGGCAGGGTCCGTAAGATCATCTGGGACACTACACATCCTCTTCACGACCTATTTTCCTTGTTACCTTCTGGGAGGAGGGGGCTCCGTGGTATCCGAAGCAGAACATCCAGATTCAGCCACAGTTTCATTCCATACAGCATTAACCTTGTAAACTCTCAAGCTTCCTCCTTCCGTTATATATTCAAGGTGGACAGTATTTAATATTTATTTGTTATGTATATGTAGTAGTGTGGGTCTATACATATGTTGTACATAGTATGTTTAGGTGTGTGTCATGTATGTGTTTCACTTTGAGAGCAGGCAACTAAATTTCATTTTTGATGTGTGCCGTTGTGCCCACAGTAAAAGAATGACAATAAAGGTTATCTTATCTAGCTGAACGACTCTTCTAGATTTATTTCTGTATGGCAAAAGATGAGTGGGAGGCAGGCCGTATATAGTCATGGCCTTAACATATAGAGAAGTATTAGAAAGGAGAAGAAAATTTCATACAAATCTGAAATTAATCTACAAATTAATCGTTCTAGAACAGGGGTCCCCAACCCCCGGTCCGTGGACCAGTACCGGTCCGTGGCATGCCAGCAACCGGGCCGCACAAACAAGCAAAGCCCCATCTGTGGGATGCAGGCAGCACACAAAACCACGCACTCTCCGGTCCGTGGAAAAACCTTTCTCCACGGAACCGGTCCCTGGTGCCCAAAAGGTTGGGGACCTCTGTTCTAGAACAGAGAGGATATTAACCAAAGGACTGCCCTTTTTAAATTATTACTCCCATGGCTGACATCTTCACACCTGTCACGATCACTCTGCTGCCGACATTAAGGGCTAGGGTCCTGCTTTGTATTCCGATTTACTTACAGTGTGACACCTGCTGACCAAATATCTACTTTGAAGCCAGAAAAGGTATCCAGGCCGTTGGCAATTTCTGGAGGCTGAAAAGCGGGTGACCCCTGGCTGGTTCGGCACATGTCGTCCTCAGCAAATGGATGCAAGGCCTGTTGCAAGCAGATAACAAAGAGGCATTGCTTTGAGGTTGAAGGCATATGTCTTCAGCAGCAACTGGAAAATTTGGGGCAGCTGTGGGTTTTGGTTGTTGTTTTTTTTAATGATTATTTCAGCAGAAGCCCTGACGTTGTTCAACTGTGCAATATCAAACTGTTTCATTTAAAAACAAAAATTAAAGGGGAGATTAGCATTTTAAGGGGAGTAAGCCTACCCAAAGAATAAACATGTTTTATTTCTTGCTGGGAATCAGTTGCAACTGCTAATATTCCACAATTGGCTACTGTGCTTCAGTTGTTCAATCTAGGGGAAGGGTGTCTGACATTGGCAAATTTAAGGCCTGTGGACTTCAACTCCCAGAATTCCTCAGCCAGCCATTAAGACCAATCCACAGGTCTTAAAGTTGCTAAGGTTGGACACCCTTGATCTAGGGAGTTCTGAGTGCCCCATGCAGCCCCACTAACTACCCCAATTTATGCAGTGTAGACTGGGAGTAAACCTGAGTTTCTGCCTTATTTGTTAAAAAATGCTTCAGAGAAAAGAATTAAGTTGTACATACTTGAAAGCAATTGCCACCCAACATCAAAATGACCTTAGAAAAGCAATTTGCCAAATTTCTTGGGTTCTGGCTTTCAAAACAAACTGTTTGATGACTGAAGACAGCTGTCAATTGAAAAGCTTCAGAAGTTTAACACCATATATGTCAGGGGTGTCAAACTGCCGGCCCACGGGCCGGAAGCATCATGGCAAAACCATGCCCACCCCCATTGCCGGCAATGGCAAAAAAAGTCACAATATGTTGCGATGTGTCGTGACACGTCACGTGACATTGTGAGTTTGACACCCGATATATATCATACGTTGTCAACTTTGTTCTGTAATTTTTAGTTTTCAGATATACTGGGGCAATTCCCCAGCTTGCACCTATCTGGGCTGGCTGGGGAATTTTGGGAGTTGAAATCCACTCATCTTAAAAGTTGCCAAGGTTGAGAAACTCTGCTGTAAACATTCAGAGAAATAAATGTACGGTATAAAACAGTGATGGCGAACCTTTTAGAGACCGAGTGCCCAAACTGCAACCCAAAACCCACTTATTTATCGCCGGGTGCCAGGTGGGCGTGGCCCACTGGGTGGGTGTGGCTGTGGTGGTCATGGCAGACTGGGTGTGGTCACCTCGATGTTGCTCGTGGGGAGGGATGCCTGTGGGGGCCGGGCAGGGTTGGGGGAGATCCAGGGGGTCTCTGGCAAGTGGGGCGGTGGGCAGGAGGCTCGTCCTGCGGGGTGAGGCGAGGCAAGGCAAGGCAGGGCAGGGGTGCCATTGTCGCAGGGCAAGGCGAAGCAGGGGCCGGGGCGGTTGCTGCCTGATACCCTTGGCCCCCTGCACGCAGAGGCCAGCGAGCGCATGGGTGCTGGGATGCATCCGGCCACGTGGGACCTTGGCGACTTAGTGGGCAGCTGGTTGAAGAGGGATGGTTGCCATCTCCAGGGCATGGTGCGCGTGCCCACAGAGAGGGCTCTGAGTGCTGTCATAGGTTCGCCACCACTGGTATAAAAAATGACTAATCCAAGACCCAACCAAGGGCCAAGCAATCTGATCCAGCCAACAGCCTGACAAAGGCCCTCAGCTGTGGCTTCCAAAGCAATTATTCTAGGCCAGGGGTCTTCAAATTTGGCCCTTTGATGACTTGTGGACTTCAACTCCCAGAATTCCTTAGCCAGCGTGCCTGGCTGAGGAATTCTGGGAGTTGAAGTCCACAAGTCTTAAAGTTGCCAACATTGGAGACCCCTGTCCTAGACTGTCTAGCCCAGGGGTTTTCAAACTTGGCTCTTTTATGACTTGTGGACTTCAACTCCCAGAATTCCTCAGCCAGGCATGCTGGCTGAGGAATTCTGGGAATTGAAGTCCACAAGTCATAAAAGGGCCAAGTTGGAAGACCCCTGTCCTAGAGGAAGTATTTTTAATTTGGATGACCAGTAAGTAGCCAAAATAGTTTTCTCCACCATAAATTTGCCCAATCCCGTCTTGAAGCCATCCGATTCGATAGCTATAGCAATTCACATAACGACACGGACGTTCAGAAGCATACCTCTGCCACACCTAGATCTGATATCTTTAGAGTCCCATTGGTTGTGAGCAGGAGATTCCCCGGTTTGATATCTTTGTGTACGATGCCCTGGCTGTGCAAATATTCCAAGCCATCTATAAGTTGGCAAAAGTACCTGTGTTAAGGGACAAGAGGGAGGCAGGGGGAAAATGAGGTGGAGAAAATTGAGTTTCTGGAGAGCAAGCGCAGTGCAATGTCTACGTTACTAAGCGGTTAGGGTTATCAGCTGCGATTCAGAGTCCGATTCTGACGAGGAATCTTACAACGTTTGTGCATTATCAGGAACTCTGAAACGGAACAGTTACTAAGAATTTATAGAATGATGCTTGCATTATGTCATGAGATGTCAGTTTGGTATAGCTGTCAGTTTGGTATAGCACCAGGCTAAAAAGTGGGAGACTATGAATTCAATCCTGCCTTAGCAGCGAATTGGGTGACTTTGGGCCAATCACCAGGAGACAATGAGTTCTAGTCCCGCCTTAGGCATGAAAACCGGCTAGGTGACTTTGGGCCAATCACCAGGAGATGTTGAGTTCTAGTCCCGTCTTAGGCATGAAAGCCGACTGGGTGACTTTGGGCCAGTCACCAGTAGACGGTGAGTTCTAGTCCTGCCTCAGGCATGAAAGCCAACTGGATGACTTTGGACCAATCACCAGGAGATGGTGAGTTCCAGTCCCGCCTTAGACATGAAAGCCAACTGGGTGACTTTGGGCCAATCACCAGGAGATGGTGAGTTCTAGTCCCGCCTTAGGCATGAAAGCCAACTGGGTGACTTTGGGCCAATCACCAGGAGATGGTGAGTTCTAGTCCCGCCTTAGGCATGAAAGCCAACTGGGTGACTTTGGGCCAATCACCAGGAGATGGTGAGTTCTAGTCCCGTCTTAGGCATGAAAGCCAACTGGGTGACTTTAGGCTAATCACCAGGAGGCTGTGAGTTCTAATTCTGCCTTAGGCATGACAGCAAGCCGGCTGGGTGACTTTGGGCCAGTTCTACCCCCTTCTCTCTCTGCCCAACCTACCTCACAGGGTTGTTGTTGTGGGGTAAATAGGACGAGGAAGGTATGTCCGATATGTACACCATCTTGAGTTATATAACAAAATAACAGCAGGGTACAAATAAATGAAATAATCTCAAAGCATCTGATGCAAGCACTTCACCGAAACCAAGATGGCCTGGAAACTAAACTGGCTTAGTAGATCCGGCCAGTGCTTGAACCCGAGGCTGTGTGGGAAGTGTGTGGATTTTTCCTTCACAAATGGCAAGATTTTTCCTTCGCAAACTGATGAGCATGAACCACCAGTCCAGTTTCCCTATTTCTCACGGCGGATGGGGCTTCTGAGAGATGGGAACTGGGAAGCCTGCGTGCTACTTACCCGTGCGCTTGAAAGACTGGAAACCTTTTGTCAGGAACGCTGTCCAACATCTCTTGCATGCCACAGACACAATACTCCATCACCATATACGTGAGAAGCAGTTAAGGAAATTCCTGGGATGAGACTTAATAGAGAAACTTGCCCTCCACCCGTTGACAAGTGTTTCAGCATCTAACTCCACTCAAGTCTGCGCTAACCGATCCCAGCTCTCGTCCCAACACCTCCCTGCGGATCCATTTGTAACTGAAGTTGTGGTGATTGACTCAAGAGACTTTCTGAACGCAAAGGAAGCACTGAACTTTGTAAATCAATTATGGATGCTCTCCAAATAGTCCAGGCCAAAGAAAGGAAACTAATCTTGAAAATATGTAAAGACTGCCAAGAAAAGAAAAGAAAAACTTGTCAAAGGAGGAAGTTATAATCCTAACATATTGAAGTTGGCAGGTTAGAGAAAACCTAAAGACTTAACGTTACGCAAGAGGTCCTTGAATTGCAACCTTTCAGTGACCGTTCAAAGTTACAACGGCGCTGAAAAAAAGTGACTTATGGCCTTTGTTTCGCACTTACGGCCATTGCAGCATCCTCCACGGTCACATGATCCTAATTTACACGCTTGGCAACAGACTCATATGTACGACGGTCGCAGTGTCCTGAGGTCACGTGATCCCCTTTTGCAACCTCCTCACAGGCAAAGTCAATGGGGTAAGCCAGACTCACTTAATAGCCGTGTTACTAACTTAACAACTGCAGTGATTCGCTTAACAACTGTGGCAAGAAAGGTGGTAAAACGGGGTAAAAACTCACTTAACAGCCGTCTCGTTTAGCAACAGAAAATTTTGAGCTTAACTGTAGCCGTAAATTGAGGACTACTTTATAATTTGCTCTCGGCTTTGAGAGGTGGTAAAGGAATAGAATTCTTATTTCTTTATCCATCAGAGGCAAAGCATTTTAAGGAATCTGTTGGGGGGGGGAAGAAGCCATGCTATCAGCAAATTAGAGGTTATAGTACCCTCTCCTCAGATAGCGAATGTGTTCCATCCCAACAATTTGGTCATTAAGTGAAATGGTTGCTAAGTGAACACATAATAGAAATAGAAATGTTGCGAAGATCATTGTTTGCTACTACCTCTTCTTTCACACAGTGCCCTGCGCCTGACCCATTGTTTTCCCTTTATTTGACCCCTCACAGTGCAGAAAGATTGCTTAAACAAGCTATCTTTTCCTGAGTTGCTTTTCTCCACAGCACGGGGCTTCCCTAAAACGGGCTAACCAGAAGTTGAGAAGCTCAGCTCCATTACTTTAATTCAGGAGTCTTCAAACTTGGCCCTTTTAGGACTCGTGGACTTCAACTCCCAGAATTCCTCAGCCAGCATGGCTCAGCTTGGAAACCTCTCACTTTCCCCTCAGCGTGCCTGGCTGAGGAATTCTGGGAGTTGAAGTCCACAAGTCATAAAAGGGCCAAGTTTGAAGACCCCTGCTTTAATTAGTTGATTAGAACCTTCCTAGACTGACCAGACCTCAAATTGTTTTCACACTGAAGGTTTTTGTTGTCGGGCACATGGAATTTGACTGTTTAATGTGAGTACTGGTCAGAAAGTGAATTTTTAATTACAATTTATTACCGTCCTATTTTCAAATGGTATAACGGAATGTATTAGGAAGGACTGCATTAGGAAGTTAGGCAGAGATGAATTCTAATGCCTCGGTCAACTTGCAAGGTCCAATAAAAGATGCCATTTCAGTAACTACTGATTGTTAACTGTTTTCCTTGAAGGGATTTACAGAGCCGCTAGCAAAGCACCTAGTACAGGGGTCTTCAAACGTGGCCACTTTAAGACTTGTGGACTCCAACTCCCAGAATTCCTCAGCCAGCGTGCCTGGTTGAGAAATTCTGGGAGTTGAAGTCCACAAGTCATAAAAGGGCCAAATTTGAAGACCTCTGCTTTATAGCTTAGAATGATGTTTCTCAACTTTGGCAACTTTCAGAGATGTGGACTTCAACTCCCAGAATTCTGCTGACTGGGGAATTCTGGGAGTTGAAGTCCACACAAAGTTGCCACGGTTGGGAAACATGGACTTAGAAGGACATGGCTGCGTTTTTCGGATTTGGAGAAGGTCCATCCTCTGCTCTGCATGCAGAAGGTTGAGATTTGACTCCGGACATCTGCCGTTAAGAGGTTCTTGGATAGCAGAGGTGGAGAAAATCCATGCCCTTAAGAAGCCATCATTCATAGACAATGCTGGGTGACGAAGGCCTGTCGGTGTGGAAGGCACCTAACTGTGCAAAGATGGAGCATCATTAGAAACCAGGTGGAAATACAGAAGGTGGAAAAACCAGTGAATCCAGATCTTCAGAGGGAGATTTCAGCAGAAGAACCCAAAGAAAGGATATATTTTTTGCTTCTCTTCATTGTACAGTACGTCAACTAGCTGGATCACATTTTTGTGCCGCAACCGCCGTAGGAGTTGTATTTCTCTGGAAGGGGGAAAAAAAAAGAAGAAAATATATTGGTGAGGGGACAAGCCCAGCCTCAAAATACAGTAAAGTTCTTGCTCTAGGAATGAATTTGCTGTGTTGAATTGCTTACTGTACAGAGAAACACACATACAGGAAGTCCTTTTAGTGACTGTTCAAAGTTACTAAACAAATGGTTGTAAACAGAGGACTACCTGTATGTGTTTCTCTGTAGAATAAGAGTTGAAAAAAGTGACTTATGACCGGTCCTTGCACTTAACGAATGTTGCAGCACCCCCATGGTCACGTGTTCAAAACTGCAGAGAGATCTGTACAAAACTGTACTCCAGAGAAACATATACGGGTATTCCTTGACTTGCAGCCGTTCATTTAGTGACCATTCAAAATTAAAATAGAACTGAAAAAAGGGACTTATGACCGGTCCTTGCATTTTATGACTGTTTCAGCATCCTCAGGGCCAGGCTTTGCCTCCCAGGACGTGGAAAGCCGGGATCTCTTTCCAGGCAATTCCACCAGAATTAATGCCGCAGGACCGCTAATGCAAAGGACTGCAGCCAATTGCGTTTATATGAACACCATCATAATGATGATCCTTCAAACAATCTTACAGGTGGTCCTCAACGTACAACTGTTCATTTAGTGACCATTCGAAGTTACAAAAAATGACTTACAACCGTTTTTCACACTTACAACCACTGCAGCGCCCCCAGGGTCACGTGATCAAAATTCAGGTGCTTGGCAACCGGCATGTATCTATCAGAGCTGCAGCATCCTGGGGTCATGTGATGGCCATTTATAACCTTCCCAGTCAGCTTCTGACAAGGAAAGTCAGTGGGGGAAGCTGGAGTCTCCTAATGACCAGGTCATTCATTTAACAACTGCAGTAATTCACTTAACTTAGTTTTGTTCCATATAGCATCAACCTTGTGAACTCTCAAGCTTCCTCTTTCCGCTATGTATTCAAAACGGACAGTGTTTAATATATATGTAATATATATGTATGTATGTATGTATGTATGCAATATGTATGTATGTATGTATGTATATATCTGTATGGGTGTAAGTATGTATGTATGTATGTATGTATGTGTGTATGTATGTATGTATGTATGTATGTATATAGCATCCTTAGTAAGGTGGGTAACTTGAAATGGCTGAGCAAATACAAACACATTTTTCAAGTAGACAGCTATTTGAAATTACAACTGCCAAAACATCTTAGGGAAATATTCACGCAAGTGAGATTTGAACAACTTGACACAATGGTCAGATACGGGAGATTCCACTCTATACCCTATAATGGACGTCGCTGCATCTGCGGAGCGGCAGAGGTTGAGGACTTGGCTCACATCCTATTTCACTGCTGCCTGTATAAGGGGGTGACACACTAAACCAGGGGTAGGCAACCTTGGCTCTTTTATGGCTCGTGGACTTCAACTCCCAGAATTCCTGAGCCAGCTTGGCTCAGCTTGGAAACCTCTCCCTTTCTCCTCAGCATGGCTGGCTCAGGAATTCTGGGAGTTGAAGTCCACGAGTCATAAAAGAGCCAAGGTTGCCTACCCCTGCACTAAACGAATGACCCATTGGCCTATACACTAAAGCAGTGGTTCTCAACCTTTTTAATGCCGCGACCCCAACCGGTCGTAAGCCGAGGACTAAACCGGTCGTAAGTCGAGGACTAAACCGGTCGTAAGTCGAGGACTTTCCCTGCCTGGGAGCGCCGCACATGCGTGGTTCCGCCCCCTGCGCCGGCTGAGGCGTAGCTGGCCAGCGGCAGAGACGAAGCAGGCCGACCACCAGCTGTCCCAGTCCAAGGGAGGTAAGGCACCCGCTGGAAAAGGGGGGAAAAATGGCGGACAAAAAAAATGGTGGACAGCCTTGCTTGGCGACCCCCATGAAATGGTCGATCGACCCCAAATGGGGTCCCGACCCACAGGTTGAGAACCACTGCACTAAAGGAATGACCCACTGGGACCCCCAAATCGAAATAACCTACCTTATGTGCGGCCAGAATTTGAAAATTACATTTAACACAGCACAGTACCTGAGCAAAATGGTTCAGCTGAGATCGGCATATGTGAGACTGATTGGAGTAGATTGCAGGTGTGATAGTGAAATATAATTTGATCATATTTTATCTATCTACATCTTAAATTGCCCTATTTGATTTCTTTTGAGAGCAGGCGACAGAACCTCATGTTTAATGTGCGCCAGTGTGCCCACAGTAAAAAAAAATGGCAATAAAGGTTATCTTATCTTGACAGTCGTGCAAAAAAGGTTGTAAAATAAGATGCGCCTGGCTTAATAAGCTCCTTGATTAGCAACAGAAATTCTGGTTTCAGTTGTGATCGTAAGTTGAGGAGGACTACTTGTAGTTTGTAGCGGTTGTGCGGCTAGAACATCGACGTGCTTTCTCCTGTCTGAATATCAAGTGCCTACCTCCAAAACCATGTGGCCAGCACTGCACACTCTACCTCAGTGGTGGCGAGCCTATGGCACGGGTGGCAGAGGCGGCACTCAGAGCCCTCTCTGTGGGCACGCGCGCCGTCGCCCCAGTCCTAGGCCTTCAGCTGGGTTTTATAAAACCTTTTCGCTTAAAGCCTCCGCCAC